TTGTAATATGGCTACATTTTCTGACTATAATAGATTTTTTTCTTTTTCTGGTTTATTTGTAGGTTTTCCAGTGAATAACAGCATGGGTGATAATGCTCAAAATTCTAGTTTTACAACAAGCTCTGGATTTGCCACTGCCCCTACTGGAAGCCCTTCTGTGTTCGGGAATAGTCCAGCATTTGGAGCTGTTCCCTCTACCAGTCCTGCCATCACTACTTCTACTCCAGCTCCTGGATTTGGGAAACCTGAAATCACATCTGCTGCTTCATTTTCCTTTAAAACCCCTGCAGCCTCAGGATTTGGCTCAGCCGGGTTTTCAGGATTCCCAGCTCCCATGGCAGCAGGCCCTGTGGGAGCTCCAGGGGCCCCAGCCTTTGGAAACAGCAGTTCTGTGGCTGGCTTTGGTAGTCCAGGCTCACATTCTCACACTCCTTTTTCCAAGTCATTCAGTGACACTCATGATGGACATAGCAGCACATCCACCTCTGTCTCTGTCTCAAATGGCAGCACGACCACAGGTAATGAATTATTCACACCCAAGCATCAGCTAACAGCAGAAGAACTGAGGCAATTTCAGTCCAAGAAATTTACTCTGGGGAAAATTCCATTGAAGCCACCACCTGTGGAACTTCTAAATATTTGAAAGGACAATTTTAAATACAGAAAAGAATGACTTTTAAATTGTTTTGAATGGTTCATATAGAAGAATAGATATACGCACACATGTATATATATATACTTATATATTTATATGGAATATAGCTTTAGGGGTTTGAAATTTAACATTTTTTTCTTGAACCTAACTATTTAAATAAAACATAATAGCAAGAGATTTTCTTTTACTATAATTATGAATGGAACTGAAAAGCTGTCTGTGCGCTGAATAAAGTATTTTCTCATCCTACATCATTTTACTATCTTAACCTTTAAAGTTTTTTCTTTAAACATTGTTTTAAAGAGATAATTTCTAGAACCATTAGGGGGGAAATGCTTAAATATTTAGCTTACTTACCAAATAAACATCAGTAACATGATTTTCCTTCATGCAAAAGAAGATTCTCTTAAAGATAAATAACAGCTTTTAAAGAGTGAAAACTTTGATTTTTAGAACCTAGGAGGCATTTTTCCCTCATAATTTTTGTCCCACCCCCCACCCTCCTCAATTTTGGCTGTCTCATAGGCCACCATTTGAGTTTTCAACAATTTCAGGCTACTTTTTAATCTTAGCCTAATTTTTATATAATTATACTTATTCCTTACATTATCCAATCAAATGGATTGTAAGAGGAATAGAAATTGTGATCATGTGAATAAATAGTGTATGTAGAGGGGTCAGTATTCTAGCTCTGTTTCTAGAACTTTTATAATTCTTAGACATACTTAGATCTCCCTGTGTCCTCAGATTGAGGGGGTAACATCTTGATATCTTACATATGGTTGATCCCAAAAAACCAAAGACCTGGCCTGGGCTGAGGCACATATATCAGAGCTCTGTGCTCCTTTCTTAAACCTCAAAAAGTATGCAGCTATTACTGTGAGAACAGTTGTCTAACAGAACTGATACTGAGCTGATTTTTTTAAGTGAAAATAAAACCTTCCCTAATAAAAGCTATGCACTCCAAATGATTTTAATATATGCAAAGGATGATAGACCTTAGAGGATCTAGATTCTCTGGTTCACTTCTTGAAGAACTGTATAGCTCCAACTAACAGTTCTGGAACCCCAGAATTTGGGATAGATCTTTACCCAAGGAGTGTATGTCTGAACCCACCTTTGGCTAGAGGTAATAAATAGACCCTAAGTCCCTACTTTGGTCTCAAGGTCTAAAGATTTTCCAATGTTTGTTCCAACTTGCAGTTGACTCCTAGAATGTCCCTACCCTAATGGAATGAACCTTACACTACCCTAGGTTTGTTACAAGCTTACCAGGCTCCCTTGGGTCCCACTTGAACTTGCCAGGTCCTGGAAGCTCTGAGGATGGAAGTAAGGACCCAATGTTTCTAAATTTGCCTGATTATAATTATCACCTGAATACTTGTTAAATAATGCCCATTGGGCTAGACCTGGAAATGTGTGTTTTTTTACGAATTGTTCCATGAGCTCCTTCAGTCAACTTTGGGAAACAGGAGCCTAGCCGGCTACATTTAGGCTACTTAGTAATAGGTGCTTTGGGAGTTTCATTTTGATTTAATTATTGAAGTCTGTTTTCTGTGTTCTCACGCATGAAAAACTGTGGTGAACTTAATTAGATCCATCGTGGTCAAAAAAGCACAAATAAGTGCTATTGGTTACTTAAAAGTGTGAGAACTAAAGCAAAAATGTCCACAAAGTGGAAGCAACTGTGTGCATGGGTATTGGTATCAGAAGTCCGTGAAAGCTAGGAACTCCTAATCCTAGGCTAAGGGGCAGCAGAGTTTCAGAAAATCAGAAACAGGTAGCAATGAGCTGGTGGCCAGGCCTAAAGGTAGATTCAGTCAAGACCCTGAGAGGGAGAGGAAGTGACAATTGCAAATAAGGTTGTATTACAAGTAAACTGATTTAACTACCTTGATTATCTGATCACAGATTAGGAGAGAAGTGTCATAGCTGAAAGCTGGTTAGAAGGGGAGAGATAAAACAAGTTGATGTTAAAACACTTTCAAAGGCATAACAGGATTTAGTTATACAATATTATTCTTAAGGGTAAAATAATTCAATCTCTTGTCCAACAACAGGAAATTGGTTAATTGTAGTAGATTCATATATTGGTATACTTAACAGTCTTTCTTTTTTTAAAAATTATATTTTTATTGATTTCAGAGAAGAAGGGAGAGGGAGAGAGAGAGAAACATCAATGAGAGAGAATCATTGATTGGCTGCCCCTGCACGCCCCCTACTGGGGATTGAGCCTGCAGCCCGGGCACACGCCCTTGACTGGAATCGAACCTGGAACCCTCCAGTCCACAGGCTGACACTCTATCCACTGAGCCAAACCAACCAGGGCTTAACAGTCTTTCTAAATGACCTAAAAAAATAGGGAATAACTTGGAAAGGTTTTTACCCTGTAGTCAACAGGCAAAAGCCTGTTATAAAGTAGCATGTACAATGTTGTCCAATTTGGGGGAAAATATATATTCATTGGGGGAGAGGAGCTAAAAGTTAATAGCTCAGATTTGTTTGTAATGGTGGTAAAAAATAACATTAAATCTACCATCTCCACCATTTTTTACAAAATATAACTTTATTGATTTCAGAGAGAATGGGAGAGGAAGAGAGAGAGAGAGAAACATCAATGATGAGAGAGAATCATTGATAGGCTGCCTCATGCTCGCCCCCTACTGGGCATCAAGCCTGCAACCCGGGCATGTGCCCCTGACTGGAATCAAACCTGGGACTCTTCAGTCCACAGGCCAACACTCTATCCAGTGAGCCAAACCAGCTAGGGTCATCTTTACCATTTTTAAGTGTATAGTTCAGTAGTGTTAAGTAGTGTGTACAACATTCACATTATTGTGTAATATCTCTGGAATTATTTATTCTAGCCACATTGAAACTCTATACCTATTAAACATTAATTCTCTCTCCTTTTTCCCCCTAACCCCTGGCAACCACATTTCTATTTTCTGTTTCTATGATTTTTACTATTTTAGATACCTCATATGAGTATAATCATACAGTAATTGTCTTTGTGAATGGCATAGCTCACTAATAATATTCTCAAGGTTCATCCTTGTGATAGAATGTAATAGGATTTCCTTCTCTTTTTAGGATTGCATGATATTTCATTGTATGTATACACCACGTTTTCTTTATATCCATTTCTCTGTTGATGAGATTTGGGTTGCTTCCACCTCCTGGCTACTGTAATGAGCATGAGTATGCAGATAACTCTTTGGGATCCTGCTTTGAATTCTTTCACTCATGTACTCAAAGTAAGATTGCTGGGTTATAGATGTATCCTTGGAGTTTTTTGAGTTTTATAAATTTGTATATCTTTTTATTCTCATATTTTGGGAAGTTTGGGCCCATTATGTTTTTCAAATAAGCTCTGCCCTTCTCCTCCTCCTCCTCCTCCTCCTCCTCCTCTTCCTCCTCCTCTCCTTCTTCCTCCTTCTCTTTCTTCTTCCATAATATACATGTTTTTCAACTTAATGATGTCCCATAAATTCCTTAGCTCTCCTCATTTTTCTCCAATCATTTTCCTTTTTGCTCCTCTGTCTTAGAAACTTGAAAGTCCTGTCTTTGAGTTCACTGAATTTCTCTTCTGCCTAGTCGGATTTGATATTGAGTCCCTTTAGTGAATTTTTTTGTTCAGTAATTGTTTTTTTTTTTTTCATTTCCAGAATTTCTGCTTGGTTCTTTACAGTTTCTGTCTCTTTGTTGATATTCTCATTTTGGTCATGTATTGTTTTCCTGATTTTGTTTGTCTATCTGTGCTCTCTTTTAATTCATTAACCATCTTTATGATGCTTATTTTTAATTCTTTGATAAATCATATGCCTATTTATTTAGGATCAGTTTCAGGAAATTTAATTTGTTCCTTTAAATGAACCATGTTTTCTTGTTTTTTTGTATGTCTTGTTATTTTCTATTGGGATTTTTAGCATTTGAAAAGTCAGCCATCTCTCTCAAACTTTATGGTCCTCTTTCATACAGAGGGGGATATTCTCCATTCAGCCCTGCTGGAGATTCCGGAGACCTCTCAAACCTACTCTGGGGATGAGTCCTCCCTGAGCCTGTGTGGAATATCCTAATTAAAAGGATCTGCCTGTTTCAACTCGACCACTCCCCCTGATGTCTGATACTGTGGCTTCTGGTGCTATAGTGTGCCTTGGTACTAGAGAGTCACCTAGTGTCAGTCTGTGGTACTGCATTTTCTAATGCATGTTGATCCCTTTCAGTTCTCAGAGGCCAAGCTCCCAATCTGGCTCCTGGTTCTTGGATTCAGGCAAGATAAAAACTGGTCCCTTGGGACGTCCACCTAAAGGTCAGCCGGGAGGAGCATAAGCTAGACGGAGATGTTCTCCCAACTGTCTTGACGGCAGCTGCTTCTCTTTGCTTCCTTCCAGTTCCATTCTGTCGGTTCTGCCTTTCCACTTTTATTTCCAGCACTTAAAGAAGGAACTATTGAAAGCCTTGCAAATATAAAGGAATCTTTTAAGAAGAATGCTTTAAAGAATGAAACAGATGAATGAAGACATTTTAATTGCCCAAAATATTAGTTTATGTTGAGAATTATTATAGAAGAAGAAACTGAAGAGGTCCAACTTCAATAAAACTCATGAAAAGCAAATTAACAAGATACCCTTCATGCTCATCAAATTGGCAAAAAGTAAAGTCTGACAATAACAGGCATTGAAGACAAGGTAGAGACTTGTGAGCTGCTGACAGGAGTGAGGATGGGTGCAAGCACTTCAGAAGGCAAGTTAGCAACATCTGGTAACATCAAAGATGCATCTCCTTACAACCTAGCAGCTCCATGCTGCAAAACCCACAGTGTGGTCTGAGCAGCAGCATCAGCATCAGCACCACCTGAGAGCTTAACACAAATGCAGAATCTCAGGCCCCATTTCAAACCTACTGAATCAGTCTGCGCTTTAACAAGGCCAACCAGGTGATTATATGTGCCTGAACACAGTGCTTGGCAAGAGTAAGTTTACAGTTGTGAGTACACTAAAGAGTATATTATTGTATTATTTGTTTATTAAATTATTGTCTTATTTATTGTTATTAACCTAATTAACCTACTCCCCCCCGCCCACCGTATATCAGGAACTATGCATTTGGGAAAAGGAGATCTGTACAAAACCACATAGTATTCTGTGTAGTAGCATTTCTCACAGCCTCTCACTGACTGATCAGGGCCATCCTGGATCAGCCATGGGATATACAGAGGCTCTTCTGATATTCCGACCAAACTCTGA